ATCCTCAACGGTACTAGACGCTCTAAAAAATGGAGGCTAAATTTAGCGGAGAGATTTGTTTTATCAACCACGCCATTTGCGTTTTATTCGTGAAAACATCGAGCTTCTACCGATCAAAGTTCCAACACATCGGATGGTCAGATATGGACCTGGCGCACCACTTGGACACCGCTCTCTGTCGGCTGCTTTAATGAAACGTATTAACAAAGTTATAGACAAACAAAAAAAAAAGGTATAGACAAAGAGAAAATGGGAGCCATTCCGTTGATGCAAGCAGGTGGTTGCAATGGACAAAAGAGATAAGTTATTACTTATCTCTTGACTAACTAACGGCAGCCCACGAGAGACCCTATCGTTGGTCCATCATTTTCCCTTTAGTCTATAACAACCACCCGTTTCAACTAATAGGATTGTTCCATTTTCCCTCCGCCTTTTTTGCCTATAGCTATCTCTATCAATTTCAATGATCAGTCTGCTGCGTTACTGGAGCAAAACGCTTTAAGAACGTCCTGGCGTTGCCAAAAAATTCCGGTAGATCATACACTTTCTGGAGAGCACACGGCTTTGTCTGCAAGGGTCGATCCCTGGGATTTTTCCCGGGGAAAATCTTACTTGCGAATTCGGGGAAACATTTTGAATTCGTCAATACTAGTCACAATATCAAGTTGAGTTCTTGAAGAGTCCTAAAAGCGACTCAGAGAGAGAAGAAGAAGAAATTTCGTTGTTTTGATTTTAACGGGGAGAAAGCCCGGAAGTTTCATTCCAGCGATTCGAACTTGGGAAAAATCCCATGAAACGTCCCGCGGAGACAGGGCCTAACAGGAATGCAACACAAGTTAGAAAATGACATTCCTTGACAAAGCTCTGATTTACCAGACACTTTTGAGTACAATTCCCTGGCAATTGAAGATATGCCAGTTGGTTGAAAAGACATAATTTCAAATAGTTTTCAGGCAAAATTCGTTGTTCAAAACGTCAAGACCATAGGCAAATAAAGGTAAATAAACAATTTTTCTCTGACACTCTCATCATTTTCTCTGACATTTCCCGGTTTTCCCTGACTGTGGCAACCCTGATTTGATTCGCAATGGAGAATTTGCACGCAATTTTTTTATTGCTTCATCTGACAGAGCTTGAAGAGCTGATTTCGCAGTATTTTTTATAGTTTTTTTTCTGATGTGGGGAATAGTATTGAATAGATTTTTAAGTGAGAAAATGCACCGCCTAGTGACGTCATCTGGGGATATTTCTCATTTAAAGACGTGCATATTCGCAGATTCGGGAATTTTAACATACCTCCTCCAATAATTGCTCAATTTATGAACCACACTCTGTTTTTCCAACTTATTTTTAGAAACGAAATTCACCAGATTTCGGACACTTGCAAATTCTCCATTCCATCTATTGTGTCTGAAAAAATTTAAGGAAAAATGTCCGAGGCTTCCTTAACAATTGGACGGATTTCTATCGAACGGAACTGTGTGCATTAAGACATGAGCCCCGAGACCCATAAAAATATGTCTATAACAGGGCTCACGTCATAGTGTACATAGTTCCGTTTGAAAGAAATACATCCAATTAAATAATGTAAAGAGGAGAATCCGGCAGCATTTGAGTCCTCATACGGCGTTCTTCCCTGCACGCTCCTCCTCGATTTGCGCTTGGGCAGTCGACATAACTTTTTCCGCACCCCGCGCGAGCGAGAGAAAGTCACCGATTCTTCGGCCAAGACGTCGGAACGTGCAACGTACCCGACTGAAGACGCTCGCTTTTTAATGAATTCTGCCAATTAAAACCCCGAGCATTGCGGGCGCCTCCGCTCCGTTCCCTCCTTGTAATCGCATTGCGTCGAGTCGAGATTTTGGGATTCGGAGTTATTTTTTTCTATCGTCTTACGCGAGTTTGTGCATGAAAATATTTCGTCAGAAAAACAAACTAGAACTGCGGGCTCATTGTTGAAATTGATAGACAAAGCAAAAGACAAAGAAGACATGAGGAGTATGGAGCAATCCTATTGGTTGAAATGGGTAGTTCCTATAGACTAAGGAAGACAATTAAGAACATTGTTGAAATTGATAGACAAAGCAAAAGACAAAGAAGACATGAGGAGTATGGACTTATGGAGCAATCCTATTGGTTGAAATGGGTAGTTCCTATAGACTAAGGAAGACAATTATGGACATTGTTGAAATTGATAGACAAAGCAAAAGACAAAGAAGACATGAGGAGTATGGACTTATGGAGCAATCCTATTGGTTGAAATGGGTAGTTCCTATTGACTAAGGAAGCAAATTATGGACTAACTAAAGGGTCTCTCGTGGGTTGCCGTTAGTTAATCCATTACATACCTATTATGTCCATCGCAACCACCCGCTTCCACCAATAGTGCCACTCCAAATCCTTTTCGTCTTCTCTCTCTGACGCTTTGTCTACCAATTTCAACCATCAGCCGTCTGGCTGAAAACATCTTACAGCACAGAGGAACATTTAAACATCAATACTGCCGTGATAAGGAAAAACGTCGTATGAGTCTCCAGGCGTTGCCAAATTTCTTCTGGCAAATCACCAATTTTTAGGACAATTTTTGAATATTTTGTTACAAAATTCTCCGATAATTCTGTTTGTAGTTTGATCTACAACAAACGAGCGAATACTACACAAAGCGACACTATTGTAGCCTGAAAATTTATCGGAAAAATACTCATAACTTTCCTCAAAAATAAACCTTTTATCGGAGGAAATTTGGCAACTCTTGAATGTTCATACGGAGTTCTTCCTCAGCACGGCAGAGTACTTGGCAGTGGCGATTCTTAAAAGTAGGAAACACTGTTTTTTTCTCAATTTGAATTGGTCTAAATTAATAAAAACTTGTTCCGTTTAATTTGTAATTAATCCTTAGGATTGATATTTTTAATGGATTTAGATGATGGAGGAAAAAAGATGTTGCCGACTTGCAAAATCGTCATGCACCCAATCAGAATCTGCTTCGTGCTGCATAAATGCATACAGTGGCGTGGCGTGAATTGCGATAGATCGATTGTTATGCCATTAAACCTATGGTAAAGAATCGATTATTAAGGTGCTCGCTGCGAACAGTGCGAACACCCTATTTATCGATCTTTTTCCATAGGTTTAAATGGCATAATAATCGATATATCGCAATTCACGCCACGCCACTGAATTCATGCTGAGCAGTGTCACTGAGAGATCAGCGCTCACAATTTTAGTCGTAGGATTTTAATAAATGATAGGAAAACGGCAAAAGATCCATTCTGACGATGAAAAAAATTAAAAATGAAGCGATAAATCGCGATCTGGCGAATCACGTCGCGCGAATTCCGATAAATCAGGAATTGGGAGATAGATCGACAAAAGATCTGCTCCGACGGTGAAAAACGAAGTTCAAAATGGAGCGAAACACATCACACGCATTTCCATAGTCATCCCAGTAGGATCGCGAAGGCAGGGCTAATTTTTTTTTTTTTTTTAAAATTGGGATTGAATCAAACTGATATGAAACCTCGAAGTCCCGACGGTAACTCTGGTCGACCTTATGGATGCGATTTTTATGTAGAAACTAGAAAGTCAAGCTCCACATATTGTGTCAACGCAGTGCGAAACCTAGATCCGGGTTCAGAGGTGATTATCACAGATTTGCTGCAGTAAGTTTCATGCACCCGAGTGTACAAAAATCTATATTTACCGAAATAGATTATCCCGCAGAAAATAGTTTGTTAAAAAAATAAATCAAACTGAATGGAGGAAAAACATTGCTGTGTAGTTGCATGAATGGTCACTGTCTGGAATTATTAAAACGGCGATCAACTAACCTCGAACAGATGTCTAAATATTTAATATGAATTACATATTGCAATGAGAAACCACTATTCTGCCGTGTGCTAAGGAAGAACGCCGTACGAACATTCGAGAGTTGCCGAATTTCCTCCTATAAAATATTCATTTTTGAGGAATGTTATGAATATTTTGCCTTGGAATTTTCAGGAACTTTAGATGAAATTGTGAACAGAACTATCTGAAAAGTTGGAAGGAAAATATTCACAAGTTTACCAGGAAATCCGTGTTTTATCAAAGGAAATTTGGCAACGCCTGAAGGTTCATACGCCGTTTTTCTTTAGCACGGCAGTATTCGTAACCCATTTTAGAAACAACATACAAGCCATTGGTTTCCCGATGCAGATGTGCGCTTTTATGGGAGAGCCTGAGAAAGTGGTTACTTATGCAAAATATAATCCAAATATGAGTGCTCGAAGATACATTGATGTCGAGAGAAGAACGAAAATATCTCTTCAAGTCAGGTCCAGGAAGGAGGTTTCGATTCAAACATCAAAACTTCAGTGACTTCAAGACGGTTTTGGGGATTCACTCATATTAAATTAGTTCAGTCGTATGGACAGAGAGTGGTTTGCTTTGTGAGAGTATTCTAACGTAAAGGTCAAAGTACCCGAAACTAAGACGCAGTTACTGATATCAGCCTCGCGTTTCGATAGACGAGGTGTTTTCAGCCGTGGTTATATCTCTAAAACACAGGGTCCTTGATAATTGTAAACATTCTCTTCAGGTAATTCCTTGCCTGGTACGTTTTACGGTCTTCTCATAGACAAGTTCAACGATGATTCAAAAACGGCGATCGATTCAAACGTTTCCGAAATTGATTTCGAAAGTCTTCGCAACTATCTTCATCGACACGAAAAACCAAATGACTCGATCTCAATCATTCGAGCAATAGCGACGGATGGTTCTACAGCTTGGTCTTGAAATCAAGATTAGGCGATATTCAATTATTCATGAAGGTCGGACGTTAAACGTGCCTGATTACTTGACAAAATGCGAGAAAAACGTTAGAGATTATCGTGTGCTTTGCTTCCTACATCACGAAACAACACCTTTCAAATCCAGCATCGTTGAAAATCCAGGATTTTATCCTGACCACCACACATTAAGAGAAAGGAGGATAAACAATGAGTTGATATCTCCATTACCTATTCAAAGTGCCTTTCAGCAGAGGGTTGGTCCCGCCTCGGAACTTATTATATCCACTGGCCATGGTCATGGTATCCAAATAACACACAAAATACACAAATCAGGGGCGAAAACACTCGCAAACACACCAAATAACACTGGAAAATATTGAGCAAACAAACACTCGAAGGCGATGGATCCCCGGTCACATTTTAAAAACCGAATTTAAAATCGGCGGCCGGTGAGAAAGGCGCTTTTCGAGAGGAGAAACCGATCGAATTTACTTATTTGAGAAAAGGGGGTGGCCCCGAGGGCCCACAGGCGACGGGAGCGCTACCCTGGCTCGAGCGCGCGGAGGAACATATGGCTCATGACCCGGGATGGAAGCGCGCCGGAAAACACACCGATCCACACTTGAAAATTAAGAACTCGGGGCTCGGGGTCGGGGAAGCTCAAAAATCGCACGCGCGACGGAGAAAAACGCACCAAAAAACACTTTCCGGGCCGCGGCTGCGCCTGGCGTCGAAGCGATGGTGGCACTGATGCTCGGCTCCGCACCGAGAAAGAGGAAAAAACCGAAAAGAAAACAACGGGTTCGGATGAAAAAATAACTGAAAAAAAAAGAAAAAAAATGTGGACCCGAAAAAAGGACGACTGTAGCGGTTATCGGAACGCGAATGAGAAAGACGGCGAGCGGAGAGCGAGCGAGAGGAGGGGGGACGACTGGAATGAGAGAGCCTTGCTGGTAGACCGCGGAGCAAGCCGCGGTGGCGGTGGAGGGAGTCGCGGCGGAGGGGGGGGGGAGCAAGGTTGTCTCTCAACAGTTAACATACTTTCACAGCCTGCTGGTGACTCCGTTGTCGGATCTGGCGAATTTCCTTCGATTTCCGTCCATCGATCCTCGCCCGGCCCCGATCCGATCGATTCCAGCTCGAAATAGACCGGATTCGATGTATCGTTTGCTTCAAAACGATAGAACATAACCTCAAACAAAAATTTTCGGGTTCAAGTTTCATCTGCTACAAACGCTGAAAAAATTGCACAATCCTAGCATCATTGCTAGCCTCTTACGCCTTTTTACTAAAAAAATTCCTCAAATTGTAGAAAATCTATTTGATATCCGTCGATCGACCCTCAGCCGGCCCGATCCGATCGATTCCAGCTCGAAATAGACCGGATTCGATGTATCGTTTGCTTCAAAACGATAGAACATAACCTCATACAAAAAATTTCGGGTTCAAGTTTCATCTGCCACAACGCTGAAAAAATTACACAATCTTAGCATCATTGCTAGCCTCTTACGCCTTTTTACCAAAAAATGCCTCAAATTGTAGAAAATCTATTTGATTTCCGTCGATCGACCCTCAGCCGGCCCGATCCGATCGATTCCAGCTCGAAATAGACCGTATTCGATGAATCGTTTGTTTCAAAACGATAGAACATAACCTCGAACAAAAATTTTCGGGTTCAAGTTTCATCTGCTACAAACGCTGAAAAAATTGCACAATCTTAGCATCATTGCTAGCCTCTTACGCCTTTTTACTAAAAAAATTCCTCAAATTGTAGAAAATCTATTTGATTTCCGTTGATCGACCCTCAGCCGGCCCGATCCGATCGATTCCAGCTCGAAATAGACCGGATTCGATGTATCGTTTGCTTCAAAACGATAGAACATAACCTCGAACAAAAATTTTCGGGTTCAAGTTTCATCTGCCACAACGCTGAAAAAATTGCACAATCTTAGCATCATTGCTAGCCTCTTACGCCTTTTTACCAAAAAATGCCTCAAATTGTAGAAAATCTATTTGATTTCCGTCAATCGACCCTCAGCGGGCCGGATCCGATCGATTCCAGCTCGAAATAGACCGGATTCGATGAATCGTTTGGTTCGAAACGATAGAACGTAACCTCGAACAAAAATTTTCGGGTTCAAGTTTCATCTGCCACAAACGCTGAAAAAATTGCACAATCTTAGCATCATTGCTAGCCTCGTACGCCTTTTTACCAAAAAATGCCTCAAATTGTAGAAAATCTATTTGATTTCCGTCGATCGATCCTCAGCCGGCCCGATCCGATCGATTCCAGCTCGAAATAGACCGTATTCGATGAATCGTTTGGTTCGAAACAATAGAACATAACCTCAAACAAAAATTTTCGGGTTCAAGTTTCATCTGCCACGAACGCTGGAAAAATTGCAAAATCTTAGCAACATTGCTAGCCTCTTACGCCTTTTTACCAAAAAATGCCTCAAATTGTAGAAAATCTATTTGATTTCCGTCGATCGACCCTCAGCCGGCCCGATCTGATCGATTCCAGCTCGAAATAGACCGTATTCGATGAATCGTTTGTTCCAAAACGATAGTCGACTGATCGTCCTGAAATCGGCCTGCATCAGAAAAATCATTATCATCGATCGACCAGTGTAAGAGTAGATTACCGCCCGTTTCCACTGAATCATACTGAAATCGTGAGGCTGAAATCAACCTGTGCCCTGATCGTTGGAAATCTCGGTATGACGATCATTTGAAACTGATCTCCCGGATAAATTCGATCAGCATCATGCTGATAGCATGATACTGGAATGCGAATTGGCCGATTCTCCAGGAGCGATCTGGCCAGGAGTGCAAGGGTGCTTCAGCACCCCAGAAATTCTGGCGAATGGCTCAAAGAGCCCCGACAGGTTTTTTGTAGGGGCCCTCAAAACTTGAAAAACCAACATAAAGGAGGACTTCAGGTTACTTAGAGGGGGCCCCACTCGAGAGGAAGGGGTCCGAAAAACGTACCATCACTCCAATAATTTTCGAGCCAGGCGGCACTGCGATTATCCTACATGATATTGGCATGATGTGTTAGCATGACATCAATATGACATCAGTATGTTATCAGCACGTCAGTACGTTATAATACTGATATCATGCTGGGCCAACATAATATCATTACGATTCAACATGGTATCATGTTGATCGACTTTACTAGGGCTGGGATAGAATTCATCGGTCAATCTGGAGAATAATAGATTTCCGGAGATCTGTACTGAAGCATACTGAAATAAAATTGATTTTATTGAGCAATATCTTTCTTGGTCATAAGGAGATTTAGACGACGTATCGGACTACTCGATGCTGAATTGAGATAGAATGATTCATTTATTTAGAGAGGAGTTGACTGTCGTAGATTCGCACTGAATCATACTGAAATCAATTATTGATTAAGGCTCATATAACATTTTACTAATCAATATTATATTNTTATTTCAATAGAGCTCTACATATAATGGTCGGATACCTGATTTTTTTGTCTTTTTTTCCGGTTTCAAAGGTCGACATCATTCTACGTGATACATTTAGATGATGCGTTACTGGGAAAATTAACGAAGTCGCGATAAAAATCAGTAATGATTTACTTTATCGGCACAAGAGGCAATGAGGTTAAAATGTAAGAGGACCGATGAAAGTTGCAGTTAGTATTGCATTAGATGGATGCTAATCGAATGGTAAACGAGTTTCATTTTAACGCCCGGGATGCAACTATTCGGGCTCTATGGATGTCCTGGTTGCATACGCACGGAAGAGAAGGCGTTTTGACTTCTGACACTAACCGCTTTACCAACGGCGCTCAGTAAAGATAGTCAATGAGAAGTGTTGCACAAAATGTGTTAACATTAAAAGCCCACATTGGTGTTAATGCGGAAAGCAGAGATTTTAGAAGCTTTTCTCATTGATTTGTTCGTAAAAAATCCCTCAAGAAGCACCCCATGCGTTAGTGCATGGTGTGAAGAAATTAACATCAAAATTTGCAGTTATTGTTGAAGTTTCATGCCCAATCTCTCTGAAAGGCTCATTTCATGGTGCGGCGGGCTTTGCTGCGAGGATCTAAAATTACGGAGTACTTTCGATTATTCATGTATTCCTTTCCTTGCTCTACTAATTTTTTTACATCTTACTTAATTTTTGGTTTCTCCGCTAATCATGCTTAGCATATCGTGTTATCAAAAATGTAGTATAAAAGATACCTACATTCGACGCCTATATGTAACTATTTGTGCCTTGGAGATATCTTTGTAGTGAGAGCGAAGAATTGAAAGTGATCTACCATTTTGAATCCTCGAAGTAAAGCCCGCCGTAGGCGCCACAGTTAAAACGCCTTCACTTTCATGCGTATGCAACACGGACATCCATAAAGCCCGAATAGTAGCATACAGGATTTAAAATGATATTTATAGTGTTCATCGCATTCGAAACTAGTTGAGGGCACTCCGCTTATTCCCCTTATACCGTAACGTAATTCCAGCGAAACCTATTGTGCCGATGAAGTAAAACTATGACTGATTTTTATCGCGACATTGTCAATTATTCGAAAAATTATTTGATTCTTTAAGCAAATCACGACGTTGCCGTCGCAAGGTGTCTACTAAAACAGGCTGGCCAAAAATCAGTACTTATACAGTACTTTTTCAGTAAAACCCCAAGAAATTCCGTACCTTCTTAATAGAAAAATTCAGTACTTTTTCAGTGCCACCAACTGACGAAATTCGAAAAATTTAAAAAAAAATTGAATTTTTCGCATAAATTGCTGCAAGAATGACATAAAAGAGAAAAAAATCCGGACCTTCTTGTAGAATTTCCCCTTTTTTCAGTACTTTCGGACCGCCCTTGAAAAATCAGTACTCTTTCCGGACTTTTCGGAAATTCCGGACTTTTAGACGCCCTGGCCGTCCTAAAATGTGGGCTGCGGTCCCTACTCACTCTGATCTAAGAACGACGAATGCGGCCACAAAGGGCTCCTTTTCAGGAAAAACTTTAAAAGAGAAAAACAATTCATTCTAACCCACAGGCCACGCTTCTACAGTATAACAGTTCAACCCCGAAGCACCCTGTAGTATTCTCGTTTTACTCGCAGAGGGAGTAAATCGATCCTGAAATATTCGCCGCAAATCGCTGAAACGGCTGGAGACGTCTAACACTCGAATGATTGACGCTCTCGGTGATGGATTTCGGGCGATGACTTTTTCCCCTCTGTGTGGCCTGAGCTATGAAAGGTGTCAAGTTCAAAATCCGAACGAAATGCCGCTACACGGAGAACCTAATGAACTGCAGGCTTCCCTTTTTGGAGGTTAAAGACACATAATAGATCGTATTCGATACATCAAACGGGTGAGATTATTTCGACATCGATTGATTCAACATATAAACATAGCCTCAAAAGTCAATTTAGAGAAAAAATCTGAAGGAACGAGTATTCTGTTATCGATTTCTGATTCTTGTGAGTACAAAATGGCAATGAAAAGTTGAATTGATAGGCATTTTCTCCTTTTCAGCTTTTCCGACTTAAATCTTAAAACTTTTGTTTGATTTTATGTTCCTTTAAAACGAAACGACACATCGAACCACTATCGAATACGATCCACGGGGAAGCAGAAAACGCACTCTGCTTTTTGCATTGTTTGGTGTTCTGGAATGCGGGTTGCATACCCAGCACCTGCAAAGAATGTTGCACGTTTTTCTTGAACTTTCGGCCTTGCGGTATTTCATAGAATACTTCAACCGATCTTTCATTATAATCGTTTCTCAGATGAAAGAACGTAACTGCATTTTCAACGTTGCGAAATTTACGGGGTAACGGTTGGGCATCGTTAAGAATTCTGACTGAGAGTTGCACTGATTTTTCACCTGGTCACCCGCAAATGTCAACTAATTTTTGAACATAGAACTGG